AGGAGACCGAGCACCTAAGTAGGAGCCAAGGAGATAAGGGTGGTGGAAAAGGACCAGAGGTGGAGCCCCACTAGGAGCTGGGGGTGTCAGGCAAGGAATGGGGCGGGCAGCCAAATGTACACCACTCACTCCAGGGGGGGGGCAAAGGGGGACTGGGAAGACCCTGATTCCAGCTTCATTTCGGAATTGGCTCCATCTCGCGGGGGCCTGGGGCATCTCTCTCGGCGCCTTCAGTGAGAACTCAGGAGTCCCAGACTTGCTCTTCCCTGCTGAGCTCTTGTCGCTACACACCAATGACGAGTCCAGTCTGCAGTGCACACTGCCTGTGTCCCTGGTCATGTACATACTGTGAAGGTGGAAGACAAGGCGCTCTTGGGCAGCTTCCTCGGAGTCCTCCTCGCCCCTGATCACGGTGGGGGTTCACCCCCAAGGTGAGTGGGGGACCTGATCTGAGAGGTGAGGGGTTGACTGTAGGACCTGGACAAATCATTTAGTCTTCCAGAGGCTAGTTTTCCTTCCCTGTAAAATGAAGAGGCTGATTCCTGGCTAGGGAAGGGGATCTGTGTTAACTGGAAGAGATACAATTTAGCTATTATTTTTGTGATGCAAACCACAGAGTAAAATGGGATGGAAAGCCTAAGAACATTCACACATGAGACAGAAATGGGTTAGCAAGTTCGAGCAACATTGTAAGAGATGATTTATAATTTTAAGCTTAAAATTCTATATTTCGGACACAGAACAAATGCCATCTTTGTCTTGGATAATTAATGTCCTATTACAAACCCCAAAGAATGATAAATGAAGCCATAATTTTCTTTATAAACAGATCATCTTTGAGTGTGTATACTGCAAGTCATGATAAAAATCACCTAGAAAAATATGTTAAAAATAAAAATACATTAGGCCTGCTTTTCCTGTTTTGGCTTTTTGGATATTCAAATGTAGAGAAAGGGAAAAAGAAAACACTGGGTGAGTTTCGCACCCTTTTTTTTGGAGATAAACAATCTACCAGTGCATCTCACTCAGAGAGCTCTGGCTTTATGTAAAAGCATCAGCAGGGTAGGAATGCAAACTAGTACAACCATTATGAAAAAATGTTTGGAAGTTTCTTAAACTGCTAAACATGGAGCGTCCATATAACCCAGCAATCCCATTCCTAGGTATCTACCCAAATGACACTAAAACACTGATTCAAAAAGACACCTGCACCTCCATGTTAGTGCTGCTTTATTTACAATTGGAAAGACATGGAATCAACCCAAATGCCCAACAGTAGATGACTGGATGAAAAAGATATGGCACATCCTCTCACCCTCCGCATCTCTGGCCTGTACCCCAATTCTGTATGAATAAATAAAAAATCTTAAAAAAAAAAAAAGATGTGGTACAGATACACAGTGGAATATTACTCAGCAATCAAAAAGATAAGATAAACACATGCCTTATGTAGCAACATGGATGGAGCTAGAAGGGATTATGCTTAATGAAATAAGCCAGAAAGAAAAAGAAAAATACTGGATGGTTTCACTCATAGCAGGAGCATAAAGGACCGGGGGAGGGGAATAATAATAATAATGAACAACTATATACCAGAGACATTTTACAGGGGTGGAGTGGGGAATGGGATCAAAAATGGGGGGGGGGGCGCTATGGTGATGGCACACAGGTGATTTTGTGATGGGAAGCCCACAGGGATTACAACTGAGATGGAAAAAGGCACAAAAATGATGTAAAAATAAACTATTATAATAATTGAAAAAGCATCCATCCACAGGAACAAATTACCTTCCCAAATGTTTTATATTCTTTTTTCAAAAAGATTTTTATTTATTTATACATACAGAGCTGGGGCATAGGCCAGTGGTGTAGGGGTTCCTGGGGTGGGGGTGGTGGTGAGAGGAGTCACCAGAGACAAGAGTGAGAGCAGAACAGGCCGAAGTACTGAAATCCACTGTGAGGGGAGCGGTGAGGAGACAGGAGTGGTCTGCTGGGCCATGTGGGTCGCTCCCTCCAGGGATCTGAGATCCAACTTGTCAGCATGGGGACGCAATCATGCGGCCTGACAGCCCGAGTCTTGACCCCTGGGCCGCCAGAGGCCTCCAAATCTAGCATTGCCTTTTACCTGTTCTCTGATCTTCAAGCATTTAAACCTGACATGGTCAGAGAGAGCTTGCAAAATCCAGTCCTCCTACATAGCTTTAGGGTCAATTATAATTTGGCCAGGGCGCAGGGGGTTCAGATAGTATCTCCCTGACTGAGTGGGGTGATCATTCCTCACCAATCGCTACGTAATGCCACTGGAATTCAAAACACGAGAGGCAGCATTTGACC